TTCCTTCCTTCCTTCCTTCCTTCCTTCCTTCCTTCCTTCCTTCCTTCCTTTTTTGTGGCTGGCTCAGCCCACTGTGGGGGCAGGGCTGGTATGGCAAGGGATACTGGGGGTCAAGCCACCTTCCCTGCACATTTGCCTAAGCTTGCCTAAGCAGGCACATTAGACCACTGAGCTATCTTGCTGGCCCATGGTCAGGTTTAAAGGTGAAAGGGCCAGCAGGAGAAAAGATTGACTCGGTGGTGAGACTTCGTGTTGCAGGAATTTCTTTTAAGTTACTCCCTTGATCTCATGGGGAGGGAAAAGGGAAGATCATCCCCTTTCTCCTGAAAGGTGTGCTCTCAAGTCATGGCTGTGTAACCAGCACTTGCAATAGTTGTTCCCTTTAGCCTAGAGAATGAGTGTTTTACTTTCTGAAAGAAATCTTACAGCTGTCCTAGTTCAACCCCTCATTGTACAAAGAAGAAAACTCAGGTCTAGATAGTTATAGGACTTGTCCAAGTTTAAGCCGTGGTAGAAACATGGTGAAATCAGGCTGCCTGGTTTTTCTGCTTTTTTCCCACTGACCCATCAAGCTCTGCCCCATTTTCAGGGTTAATGAATGTTGGGCATCAGTGGTTCATATGTGAGTCAAGTGTTCTCATTCTCTAGGAACTTACCATGTTTTTCTTTAGAGGAAAAAAAGATGGGTTTGTGAACTAGCAGTAATACAAGTGGCCTAATAAATATAGTGTAAGGTCTAGGACTGAAGGAGGTGTGGATGACTGAGAAGGGGGTTATAGGAGTGGTCCCTGGAGTTGGGGACAAGAAAGATACAAATTGAAGCTGACGCTTGAATTGTGCATGTCACTGGGCTGGCTCTGTGGTTATAGGGGCATCAGTGAAGTACCCATAGCTTGGAGATATTTTGACCAGATAGTATTGTTCAGGAGACTCAAGGAGAGGGGACAGCACAGTAAAAGTTTCTTCCCTGGCAAGGCTTCCTCTTTACTGTCAGTGTTTTCCTCTGGTTTGAAATGTGGTTCTGCCTCTGACTAGCTTTGGACAATTTACCTTCTCTGACTGCCGGATAACTCAATGTGTAAAACAGAGCAGAAAAACAAAATGAATCTACTTTGTTTGGTTACATGTAATTTATGTCAACTACATGACATGAAAGAGACAAAACTACAGACAGTGAAAGGATCAGTGACTATAGGGGAGAGTGGGATAAATGGAGAACACAAAGGAATTTTTTTTCATTTCCATTATTTATTATAACCACAATTTATCAAAGACATATGTCTCTTTACATGCTACTTGCAAAGACTGTATTAATATTAAACTAAGTACATATGTTCTCAGAAAACACAGGCATAGAACATGAGGGAAGCTTCTGATAAATCATCATAGAACACCTACCTTGAAACATATTTTTACAATGTTTATTCTTTTAACTCCAATTTTCTCTACCACCCACTCCTTACAACACTTTCCCCCAAAGTAAAACCAAAGGAAAACATTTTGGCAACATAGAAAAAGATATTTTATGCATAATTACTCATGTATTCCTATAGACAAAAATCACCCTAGTTCAAGACATTACCAAAAACGTTAACATTATTTCACGTATACCTTCAGTGCCCTGATGCAGAAAACCTTTTTTAATGAAAGAGTTGGAATGACAATCCTTACATTGGGCTTTCCTAGGTAAATAGGGGAAAACTACAGGTCTGATAACATAGTAAAAATGACCCTAGTATTGTCTTGTAGGTGATGTATTAATGCTTCCGTGAGTTCCTATGTCCTGGATGCCTTTTTTGCAACTAAACAGCAATTACTGGTACTCTCATAATGTACTGCTCTCTTCTCTCCTGGCTATTTTACTTCCAGAAGAGGAGAACAGAAACAAAATATGATTTCCTCACTCGTAGGCTGTACAACTGTCACCATCAGTAGTGGTTTGGGAATTTCTAAGCCTCCTTCTCATTGCTATCAAAGTAGACCAACAGTAAGAATGGCTTTGATTGAAACCTTTCAGTGTTTTGCTTCACAGAATTATAAAGAAGGATATAATCTCATTTCTACATAGGAAAACCAAGAATTCTTTCCAGTGA